TATTGGACCAATGAAATTGCAGTGCGTTAAATACGGGAAAAATACATTTAAAAAGAACTGAAAAGCGTCAGACAAAAACCAGCGGCTCTAATCTTACTGTAACATAAGATCAGGGTTTGGGGAAGAGTTCTGGATATAAAATGTAAAATTTCCATGATGTCTGTTCGAAAACGCATTTCATACCCAGTTCCTGTACCTCCATTTTAAAGCAGTCTGCTTGTATTTGCAAATCTACTGAGAATGATTTGGCCCCCACACGGCCAGGTATTGAAAACCAACCAAGGGCCAGAACACAGCTGTGGCCTCATTTCACCCATTCTCTTTTCTCCGGCTGTGAGCACTGCATGCCACCCACAAATTGTTTTTTTTGTTTTTTTGTGCCCCACATATGAAGAATGACTAAAGCTGCACACCAGTCTGAGTCCATGTCTCTCAGTTGGTGGTAAATGAGATGCAAAATTATTCCATAGAAACGTTTAAAGAAGCACATTTTATGGAAATACAGCATTACATTCATTATAACATTTCAAATGAAAGAAAGAATGTTGGATGTACTTCAAATGCAAACGTTGAATGTCTTGTGTTGTCATTTTGATGTAAAACTCACAGTAACATGATATGCCTTTTGTCCCATATTCACATTTACAGTACCAGATACGTTTTTTTCACACACAAAGTTGCAAAAAGTGACTTTATCTTTGGTGGGGTTCACTTCCTCCCGTTAACTAATTGGACTGTTTTCTGGTCAACAACATTTCCTGAAGTAGGTGGAGGATTGTTATTTCTCAGCTTTGACTGCTGTAAAACACACAAATAACCAGTAATAGTAATAATGATGATAAAAAAAATACACACATACATATAAAAAAGAAATAAAGACACTGTGCATTTAGTCCAAACAACATTAAAATTCAAAGTGACCTAATTATACATAAAAACATCTCCAATAACACCCGATACAACAAAAAAATCACTGCATCTCATGCAGGTTTAGCCTTGTATTAAAATCTTTGAATGCATTCCTGGAGTGGAGATCACAGCAGCTCTGCTCACAGGAGAATAGAAAACGCCGTCATTTCCTGCTCGGCCACATTTGGAGGAGGAGGACGCGGCTCCTCCGTGTGTGTGTGTGTGTGTGTGTGTGCTGAGGCTGCTTTTGCTACGCAAATACAGAATAAGAAAATTACGTCTCATTAATAAAAGATCACAGCAGCAACTGTCAGGCTTTGTCTGCTGCCCCGCTGCCAGGGCTGGATTGTCTTACAACAACACGAGCGCCCCCGGTGCCTTGTTTATCTCACCATGCGTGTGCGCTGCATTCTAACTTCACCGGGCCAATTATTCCAAGTATGTAGTTCAAGTTGAGAGCTTTTTATTGAATCTTTTCTCAATTTCACCTGCAGTGTATTGATTCATTCATTTGATACACATTATGTCTCCTCCGTAAAGGATGACGGATATGAGGACACGGCGTTGATGGGGGAGCACCTTTAATTGCTCAGAACTTTACACATAAGTGACTTTAATTAGGCGGAAACGACTTAACATACAAAAATAACCGGATCTTATGGAAGAATGGCTGCAAATGTCACGTGAAAGACTAAGTTATTCTAACAAATTGAGCACATCTGCAGGAATGAAAGATGACTGAGTTTTGGTATGTGTGGCTGTGAGTAAGTCGGTGGGAGGAGAGTGGTGATCGCATCACTGCTTACGTGCCCGTTTCACACACGAGAGTCGAATAAAGACCCCGATCTCATCTGAATCCCCTTTACCCTTTTACTTGCTCACACTAAAAGTGTTTTCAGGTGGCCTTGCCCTCCGAAAAGAACAGCAAATCTATTAAGCTCTCTCTCTTTCTTTGATTTTTGATATTTATTGGTCAATCGAGCACAGGTAATGTCCCCAAGACAAAGCATCAAACAACTGCTCTTTTTCCTCTTCACAACCAGAAAAATAAGCTACACAGATGCTTTATTTTTTCCATTTACCACAACATTCATGTACCTTTTGTGGAAACACAGATAGAAATACCTACGGTTACTCTGTTCTTTTGTTGCCTTTTAAATAAAGCAAGTACTATGTTCACTGTTATATATATAGATTTGATCTTCTCTATTGTACACAATAGCAATAAAGAACACACACAAACACAGCAACAGCCCAGGATAAAGGAAAAACCTGGCTCTCTATGTACATCACATGTTGCCAGAGAACAGAGCTGCCTGTCAGACACACGGCGAACCACTGGGACCACAGAGGGATTTCGAAAGGAATTAATCCCGATGATTGTAACGACATTTGAGCAAAACCAACACGGTGGTAGCTTCAGGAACCCGAAAGAAGAGAGATTTTCTGGGAAAAACCCACTTTCAGAGCAGGGAGCTCTGGATCAGCGCAGAGTACTTTGCGAGTTAGTTGCTCTCCCCTCGGACTCCTTTGTCCACGGCGGGCGTCAGACGTCCATCTGGACCAGCACCAGGACGGGCGGCGCCTCGGCCACTTTGGTCCTGCGGCGCAGCAGCTGGGCCAGGCTCCTGAAGGAGGGCGTGGCCCGCAGCAGGATCTCCTTCAGGCCGGCCCGGAACTCCTGCCGGACCAGGCAGTAGAGCACCGGGTTGAGGCAGCTGTTGGTGTGCGCCAGGCACACGGTCAGCGGGAAGGCGTAGGCCTGCACGTTGTAGAAGGCCTTGCTGAACGGCGCCAGGTCGAACTTGATGAACACCCCCCACAGCGTCAGCGCCTGGTTGGGGAGCCAGCACAGGAAGAAGGACAGCACCACGATCACGATGGACCTGGTCACCCGGGAGCGGCGCTTCTGCCGGCCCTGCTGGACCTCGGGGCCCTCGGCGCCGGCCACGCGGCGGGTTAGGATGACCCGGAGCAAGAGCAGGTAGCAGACGGTGATGATGACCAGCGGGATGAGGAACCCGAGGAGCACCTTCTGGAGCTGGTAGAGGCCCAGGAGCAGCTGCGGGTCCCAGTTCCCGGAGTCCGGGAAGCGCACCAGGCACAGCTCCTCGTCGGACACCTGGGCGCTGGTGGAGAAGATGGCGTGGGGCAGCGTGGCCAGCAGGGACACGGCCCAGATGCCCAGGCTGGTCCACTTGGCGCGGGTGGCGGCCGCCCGCCGGCTGTGCATCTTCAGGGCCGAGGCGATGGAGTAGTAGCGCGCCACGCTCATGGCGGTGAGGAAGAAGACGCTGGCGTACATGTTCATGGTGGTGACCGAGCTGACGATCTTGCACATGACGCGGCCGAAGGGCCAGCGGAAGTCCAGGGCCGTGTCCACCGCCCAGAAGGGCAGCGTCAGCACGAACTGCAGGTCGGTGATGGCCAGGCCCATCACGAAGCAGTTGATGGACGACTGCTTCTGGCGGTGGCGCGAGTGCAGCAGGTAGAGGGCCAGCGAGTTCCCCACCAGCCCCAGAGCGCAGACCACGGAGTAGACGCACGCGATCATCACGCGCACCACCACGCTGGAGCTGTCCCCCTGGAACTCCATGATGGACTCCCTGGACAGCAGCTGCAGCCAGCAGTGCAGCGACAGGTTGCTGCTGGACCCTCCGTCCCTGTTCCCGTTACGGTCCTCCTCTAGGATCTGCTGCTCACACCGCTCTGGAGCCAGCGTTTGAACTCCAGACTCATTCATCTGCATGACCGGATCCCCCCTATCCTCTCACTTATCACCTCCAAAGAAAAAGTGCTGCGGGCGCGTGGCGAGAGACGCTGGGAAAAGTTGCTCCTGATTTCATTTTTTTCAGCGTTTTGCGTTGTTTTTTCTGTGTCAGGTTATCTCCCGTGGAGCCCCGGGAGCCGTCCTCCTCCGCGATCACGCTCCTCTCATTTCTCCACATGCTTTCAGCTCTTAGCGCGCCGCGTCCGTTTATAGCCTCCGCGCGAGCGCGCACCGCGCGCTCCTCACCTCAGCAGCGCGCGGATTGGTAGAGAGCGACGTTTTTTCTCTCTGGCAGCTGTCTCCCAAAGTCTCAATGAATGTCACGGATGAGGAGAAGAGACATTTTCACAGGGAGACGTGGAGCGTCTTTCTTTCTTTTATTGAAAAAGCATACTAGAATGTCGTTGATAATTTTCAGGGAATCACGACTAAAGTCAGTTTTGCACTGTTGGAATGTTTTAGTCAGTGCTCATTTCTGTCAGTTGAATAATAAAATAAATAAAACTGATAGACCACATGAAATAATCATAAGCCTTCTGCAGAAAATGAAAAGAATGCAGAAAATAATTAGATATAATTTGAAATGAGTGACAATTGTAAGAGCATAAATTATTCATTTAAAATCAAATGTGATTTTTTTCAGTATTTTATAAGAAAAAACCCCCACGTGCATTCAGAAATATTCAGTAAAGTTGTGTTGTGGATATTATAACTATCACTACAGGAAAGATGTTAGGAGGTAAGTCTTTTTTCACCACTAATTTGGGTATGAGGACAAAAATGAGACTGGGACATGATTCCAGATTTAACCTTAAACATGTAAACTTTATCCTTGAATTAATATTGGGGGTCTGTAATTCTAGGAGAGGAACCAACAAAACAATGCAGGATGTAAACTATTCTCTAATGTAAATTTGTGCTCATACCACTTAAGATACTTAAGGTGAAGTGTCGCCCTTAAAAATGCTAGAAGGGAAATACAACTCAGACTTGATTGTCATATTCAAATGTTGAAATCTTATTTTAACACTAACAAAACGAAAAGCACCCAATATACAACAATAAGAATGTCTGTGATTATATTGTTAAGAGTTATGAACCCAATTATATGGAGTTTATATGACGCATGACACATTTTTACTGTCCATAACAGTCTTTAAACAAACGGACTTCCTCCCACTGCTTTTCAATAATGAAAACAAACGTCATTATTTACATTTTTCAGCGATAATGATTCCTTTTGTATTTTCATTTTTCTGAGACTGTTATTGGGGAGGGTGGGGGGTAGATAGAGAATACTTGAGACTGTTAATCTGTGATTGTTGTGGCTGAAAAATACTTTTTTACAAGGCGAGAAACACCTTTGTATAGGCCAGTGTGCTTGTTGCCTTGGTTGCATGTGAACAAAACACACAATACATGGGCTGGGTTGGAAATGATTATTGTTATTTAGTCCTGTCATACTTTAAATCACGGCCAGAAAAAGTTCTTTTCACGGCGTGACTGTGCCATTAAGGCTGCCACTCTGACCCGTCTCACGCCGCCGCTCTCACAATCAGCCACGCCATTCTCCCAGCAGAGGATATGTAATGATATATAATAACGGGTTGTTTGTAAGAAAAGGTTACATATAGGCACAGCTGAAGGAGAGGCACAGTGTCAGGGTCTTGAGCCAAAACACAACGGGCTCAAAGACATCAGAATGAAGAAATACTTCAACAATCCCACATGGAAATTATTTTGAGGGGATTTTAAATCCGATTATTTGATGGTGGAGTCAGGAAATGAAGGTCACTGAGAGGAAATAGTGAGAATTGAGGTTAGTTGAATGATTCTAGATGTTGAATTGTAAAATGATGTTCCAGTTTCCAGTAAGTTCTTGATCATAGAGGGCACGTCACGGGGGTGGATCTTAGGGAGGACTCAGTCGCGGAGATTGGTGAAAAGGGTTTATTTGAACAAAAACACTCAAAAGGAGTGGATGGCAGAAATTGGTTAAAAAAACAAGGCTGTGAGGAAACTATGGACAAAGTAGCAAAGCAAGATCAACTAAACTGTGGCAAAGTATCAAAGTAAGAGTAAACAAGGCTATGGCAAAAGCACTAAAGTTAACAAAAGTGTGGGCAAAGTATCAAAGCAAGACTATGGCAAAAAGTACTAAAAGTAAAGATTAACAAATCTGTGGCAAGGCTGTGACAAAAACATGGCTATGGCAATAAAGTAAATAAGACTACGGCACGGCTGTGACAAAAATCAAAACCTTACGTGGCGAGGGGAGACGAAAGCAGAAAGACAAAAACGCAACTGGCACAGGACATGGGAAACGAGGACTATTTAAACACATGAGGGAGGGGAACCCCAGGTGTACACAATAGGTGATCAAGACATGACGAGACACCGGACATTCCCCCAGACGTGACACGCCCAACAGGAGGAGTGTCCAAAGACCCAGATACCACCAGGATGCCACAGCCAAGGGAAGTCACAAATCCTCCCAGAGAGAGCAGAGCTCTATTTATTCTGCTCTGTTGTGCTGGATGTTTGTGTGATTTTAATTAGTCAGAACAAGTTAACCAATTTATTCCATTCCAACCAGATTCATTAAGATATGTTGTTTCTGTCTGTTGTGATTAAAGAAAGTCCTTGAAATCGTTAAAAATGGTTATAAAACCATTTCCGGTTCTTTTTATTGATCTGCATTTCTTTTGGACAGTCTCAGCTTTTGTGGATTTTTGCCTCTCAGTGTCATAACAAGTTGCCTGTGATCAAAGTGAACTTGTCTTGAGCCCTTATTGGCAGCCAGCTGGCATCAAAAAGGGAGTTGAATCTTCATTTCAGCCTTCTGTTTGCTGCATTTCTGTCTCTCAGCCATACCCTGTGATTTCAGGGTATGCTTAAATCATGTGTAAAGTTGCGGCTGTACTTCCCATGGTGAAAAATTCAGAGCAAATTGAAAACACACCAAATCGAGGAAAATAAAAAACTGCCCCCTATAATCCATTGCAACCGTCTTCCTGTCATTTTAACAATCCTTAAGCCAATAAGCGCAGGCTGTGACAGTGTGTCTGCTTTAGTGTGCTAAGCTTTCAAATGGAAAAACAAGCGTGAAAGGAAAAAGCTGACATTCCACTGGTTATATACTGAGCCTTTTTCATCTTTGCAGAGCTGTTATTCATTTATGAAGCCAACAATTATTTCATTTGATGTTTAAAACTGCATTTAGCTCTTTAACAGCCTCCCTTTCTGTTTAATTAAAGGCATTCTCTCGTCGGTTAGGACTTTTGTCTGTATTGGACGATAGTGCAGCCTCCAGTTATTCAATAATAACCAACACTATAAAGGCCAGTCTTATCTTATTGCCCTTTGTGATGTTCCCTTGCTGTATATGGGTGCTTATCCAGTTTGGCATGGTCAGTGACAGAGTCAGAACCTTCACCAAGGTGACCAGAGGTGGTTTATGGTTAAGCCTCTACTTAAAAAAGAAATGTTCTTTTCGGGTGACAACACAAACAACACAAACAGGTTTTCCTCAAACCAACTAACTGGTTCCAGTTAAATACAGTCTTTATGCTTCGGATGTTTTCATTATCTGGAAACTTTCCCTTCTTTGAACAGCAAAAATCCTATGAGAGTAGAAACAAAGTGATGAAATAAAGCATTGTACCAGGGAAACAATAGGAAATAGCAAGAAGTTGGATATTTCCAGCAAACCGTTGGTGGTAAAGGAAGAGTCCTTTTTATATTCACAAAGGGAGCCACAGGTTTGAGGACCTTAGTTTCTTTCCCCTTCTCTAAATTTAAATGAACGTGAGGTTTATGTTAAAGAAAATGGTTGCATGTTTTTGATTGTTTATGCAAATTGGAGTGCAGTAGGTGATGAGGCTCTGAAGAGACTGCTGGTGCAGAAATGCCTGCAGTGTTGCATAGCCTGTGGGGACGTCTTATCTCGGCTCCGTCATCTCCGTGATGGAATAAAAAAAAAAAGAATTATCGGGTGCGATGAGATTGATATGTTTTTACGTCAGTACGGCTGCAGCTCAGAGTGTCATCTTGAACGGATGAACAGTTTATTATCATGTCTGCAGAGCAATAGATACTACTCACTGAATACTGATGAAATTTAATTCTCTTGCCGGAGAGTATCAGTTTGCTCAGTTGGCACTCGGCAAACTGTCAGGGTAACCTTGTGAATGATTAGCATTGCAGAGTGCAATCTGTTGGGCTAATATTTGGCGCAGGCTGCCACCAGACACCTCAAACAGACCACTAATGTGACAAATCAAACACTCCGTTCTTTAAAACTCTCTCTCCAATTCTCCCCGATTCTTCATTGTATTCTTAAAAATCCCCGCTGCAGTTTACAGTCCCAAAATCAATTTGTTTTCGACAGAGATTTCCAGTTAAGTCTCCCTGTGGTGATGCTTACTTTTTTAACTGAGTTTAGTTTAAAAGCTGAGGTAGGGCATGTGCACATATTGAAGGTTTTTGATGCTAAGTGCAGCACAGAGATCTGGTGTGAAACCCCCCCATAACATCCAACAGCCTCCATCCAACTGAGAGAATTTTGTTAGAGCTGATATTTTGAACATTAAAAACCCTGAAATGTCTCATGTGCATGCTTTGGGTGATTCACCACTGAATAATGAGCAATGAATTAAAGATAGCGCGCCCTGATTTGGCCCATTTCAATGCCCCATAAATCCCCCTGTAGCATGTTTGTTATTCAACAATTCACGCACGGCCACACAAAGATAAGGAATCTAACCACTGATATTCTAATTGGTGGACGATTAATGGTGAACTGTAAAATATTCCAATAACGAATAAAATATTCAGATGATTTAAAATTTAAACTAGTATACTAAAAATGCCAGAAATTCTTTAACGGTACATTACCTCTCTTAGTTAAATGGTTGAACGTAACATCAAAATTGCAAACGTCTCGCCTGGGTGACAGGATCCAAAGCCGATTTAAAATGCTTCCTACTCACTGTGAGCTGTCTGCTCTGCTAATATTTGTCAGTTCTCACCCAGGCTGCAGCTCTGACACGGTGATCAGAGGCAGGAGAGAGCGTGGTGACATTTACACATTGCCAGAGAGTCGGCGCCTTCATTTTTCATTTAGATTTCACCATCCAAACCTGTTTTTTTTTTTAGCCTTGTTCGTTAAATTTAACATCTAAGTTTTTGTAAAACCAAATGCAGTTGAAAGTAATTCTACTTAAATATGTAAACCTGCAAAATGTATGGAAAACGGTGTACTTCAAGGACAGTTACAACTGGACAAGTGGTAATGTCATTTTTGTCTTAATTCATAGCTGGTTGTGTGTTTCTGAGTTGTTGAATTTACAGTCTCTGACCATGGTCAGCTCTTCAGTCTGTGTACAGGCACAGCCAATAGTCTTAATGCTTCCACAGGAGGATTGTTTGCAGGATTTTGACATAAGCCAAGAGTCAGAGTTGAAAAATTAAAGATTTTTTTCTTTAAGGAATGTACACAGCAACTAATGCACAGACAAATTGTAATAATTGTAATTCAAAAGTAAGTCACACACATTACATGATATACCCCACATCTAAATGAACAGTTTCTGTAAAAAGCTAGACTAATAAGCAGTCACCATTTATGTTGCATAAATAAAGGTCTCTTTTCTTTGCATACAGTCGACGCTTGGGAGACATCAAAGTTTAATTCTGTGCTGATGTGCACCCTGGGTCAAAGGTCAGAGAGGGCTGCACGTCATGTTTGGAAAGCTTACAGTTTACAGAAAAGATGGAAATGAGTTCTTTAAGACACTGCATAAAAATGGATACCAGGCAATATGAACTTTTGTGTTGATAAAGGTTAATCTAATTTATTCACATCTTAAAGCAAGGATAACCTTTATAAAGCATCTTACAGGCTGCAGTAATCACAACAGATTAATCCTGTGAATCGCCCGATACCAGGAGGTAAAATGTACGCTATAATGCAGTAAAAACCCATCAAAAAGTCCACTTTTAAACACCCAACCACTTTTTCCAAAGTATAAAATATTGATTGAATCGTGAGCACTCAAGCTCGAGTAGGTGTTCATGCCTTCAACACCTCCCCCTCCTGCCCCATTTTCTCTTTCAAACAGAAAGACTAATTTTCTTAATACCCAAGTTCGAAGGTCCTCTGAAATATTCCACCAAAAAGCATAACACCATCTGATTGAGCTTCACGCTTTGAAAGAAAAAAAAAAGCCTATTTGTAGATTAAGAAAGAAGATGGGGGAAGGCCTTTGATTGACACTGGCCAAACTCAGCAGATGTGCAGCTCCTTCGGGTCCCGGTTAATCAAAGCGATGGGTTAAGGTTCTGATGGAGAGACTCTCACCCTAATTAAAGGATGAAACGGGACAGGGTCAAACAGCAGGAGAAGGGGACATGCAGAGGTCCCATCTGCAGAGGCCAGTCCACCGTTTCAGGCTCATGCTGACACGCAGGTATTAAGAAGTAGAGCTCAATACAAACAGGATGCGGAAAAAACTGAAAGTAAACACTGAAATCCGAAGGTGAGTTTTGGAGGTTTGGAGATATTGAGGCTGCAGGCTATAATTATGAATCACCACTAACATGAAAATATGAGTAATACCACATCCTTTTCTCTGGTTAAGCTTCTACCCACTCTTTTAAAGGACAGGATATGCACTGAACAAACGTAGTTGGTACAGAAAAACACGATTTTGACCATGCTGAGTCACTAAGGTGTTTAGAAGTACACAACAAGTTTGTACTTGTACTTTCAGTCCTTTACAGTGGTCAGAGCAGGAAACATTTTCCTATTATTAAAATGCAAAGAGAGAGGAGCCCACTTGCATACAGTGTTTGGCTGAATCCACTCCAGGCTGAATGGCTCAGAAGAAATGCATCAAGTCGTCACGAGAAGGAGACAAAGTGGTGAAATTGGCTTCTGATGGGAAGCCACCGGCGTGCCCTCCGTTATCTGGGCTGAGCACAGTCTCGTGGCAAGCTGTCAATAAACATAATCCATTGATTTGTTTTCTTGGACACAATTTTCTCCTTTTTGCTCGTGAATTGACGCATAAACAATTACTCCGCTTTTCCAGATGAACAGTGTAGAAGAGTGAGTCAACAAAGACTCAGCTCTGCAGATGCCCGCCGTGCACGCGCTCCACAGCTGGAAATTCTCCACTCGGGATGTTGGAAATGCAGGTGTTGTGTCTGGGGAGGGCACCCAAAGGCAGGATGGGACTAAAAAGCATCGTGTAGCACGTTCAAAAAGGCGTATAAGTCCTCATAATTCCTAATACACTCCTATTTCAGGTTGTGAAAACCTAGTGTTGCATGTATTTGAAGTAATTTTGAAGCTAGTTTAAAGCATTGATCAGGACATTAGTAGATGGTAGGAAGCTGGTGGGAGAGGAGGAAGAAGTTGGAAATACCACCAAACTTCACCTAAAAGTACTCTAAACAAGCCCGAAGCATTAAGAGGATATTCTCCACCAAACCAACCAACTTCCTGAAGTTTGAAACAGACAGCTCCAGACTGAGGACAAAACAAAGTGAGATCAGCATCAGACATGTGGAAGACTCCCCCCCCCCCCCCACACACACACATCTCCACTGAGCTCCTGTCAAAACGATTAGGGATCTGCTGAGCTGCAGGTTTTTCGTCCGTCAATACCAGCTGCCCATGACTCTTGGGTCTCCTCCATTTTTTTGGAATCCACTTTCCTACTGGATCCGTGCGCTCACTCATCTCTTCCACTTTGATGCCTGAGGGGAGCCTCCATGTTGAACAGGCATGTGGTCCCTCTGCCCCCCCCCCCCCCCCCCCCCCCCCCC